TGCACTACGCTTGCATCCATTGCGCGTCGCGCGCGTTGTTGCTGTTGTGGTAAATGAAGTTTCGCATTCCTGCAAGTTCCGTTTTCAGTGTAGTTAGCAGTATCGAGTTTCTCAGTAAGTAAACAGGTCCGAGTGATGACGTCAGCATACCGCTTCAGTTACGCGATTAGGCGTAACGAACCGCTTCAGTCACGCGAACAGTCGCGACCCTATAGAATGACGAATAGGTCGCATAGCGCGATAGTGATGAGGTACATTAGCGAACAGGTACTTTCCCTAGAGCTATAAATCCTTGTGATGCCTTTCTATTATTAACCTTGAATTTCCACAGAATTATGTGCTCAGGTTATTCAACCTTCGACTACCCACAAGTTCATGTGCTCAGGTTCACTCTGATAAGACTTCCGCTGTCTTACTAGTCTACCATTCCAGCAAAGATCCTTGGTTCAATACTCGTGTTACCAGATTCTACACTTAGTCTGCTGCAACACCAGACGATTTACTTCATGGTATCAGAGCTATATGGAATTAAGATTACCGTCGACTATGACTGGTCCAACACCAGCACCATCTGCTGGATCAGTTACTGGAACTACTGGAGCACATGCCTCCACTACCGCCGCTGGTCGCTCAGCCTCTGGGAATTTTCCACCAGCCTACGCTAATATCGGTATGCAGAATTCGCCTTCTGTGAATACTCCAGGTGCTCCATCGACTGCACCTGCAACGCAACAGCAGCAATCACAGACAACAGCACAGCAACAAGCATCAGTACAGTCACCAGTTACAACGCAATCAATTTCATCTGCGTTCAGTGGAATGAGCCTTGACGGCTCAAGCTACATGCGTGAAGCTACAGCTCCAAACACTGGTTCGTTTGCCTTCTCACCTTTCGTACAGCAGCCGCAGTCGCAGCAGTTTCAGCATCCCTTTTATATCTTCGGTCGTTCTCCTGCTCAACAACCACAACAAGTACAGCAACAGCAGTATCAGCAACCACAGCAAGTACCGCAACAGCAACAACAACAGCAACAACAGCAACAACAGCAACAGCCAGGCATTGTATATCAGCCTCCAAATTTACTTAACAATACTCAGATCAAGACAACCGTACCTTTTAATGGTGTTGACTTCTACTCCTGGAGCTTTGAGTTTGAGCTTCTGGCGCAGTCCGCTGGGCTATGGCCGTTCTTCACTGGCGAATTTACGTATCCTGCCGTGGGAACACAACTGGAGCAGCAGAGTTTTCTACACGCCTCTCTCGGGGCGTACACAGTTCTTGTACGGAACTTGTCGCCGAAGGAGCAGCTCGGCGTCCGATCATTTCATTCAAGTTTTACACCTGCTGAAACTGCATGGAGACACTTAAAAGGGGTGTATATGGCGCGGGGTACGATAACAGTGAGTAAAATACTTTCGCAGCTGACAAATGTGCAGATGATGACAAATGAAAACGTCATGGACTACGTCAACCGAGTCCGTACACTACGCGATCAACTGGAAAAGAGCAGAGGATACTTCCCTCGTGAGATATATCTCACTGTCCTTCTTGCTGGACTTGGACCCGAATGGCGATAGACGCGCGCCTTCTTGCGCATGAATCCCAACCTCTCCGAAGCTGAAATTTCTTCGTATCTTCAAGCGGAGCAGCAAGATCTTGACCTGCAGTCACAACGCAACAAACAGGGAGATATACAACTCAGTTTCTATTCAACACCAACTCGACGTCCTCGACACTTCTGTCAAATTTGCAACAAGGGAGGACATTCTACCGACCGATGCTACTTTAACAAGCGGTATTTACCTCCTGAAGAAACGCAGAGGTCGCAATCATTACAGCACCGACGACAGCCTTCGAAGCAGTTTTTGCAGCAGCCTACGCCTCCAAAAGCAACATCTGCAATATCAACACCATCAACGACACTCAGTTCTGCCCCTCCAAGCAACTCATCAAAGCCGACAGCAAATAATTCAAACTCTGCCAACAAAACGGTAACTTCAAATTTTTTCTTACCGACTTCAAACACTCACATGGCTGGTTGCAATACAGATACCGATACTTGGTACTTGGATAGTTGTTGTGGCCATCATATGGTCTCTTCAACCAATCCTTTCATCTACAACCGTCGTCGACTTCTTCAACCCTGCCAAATCACACTCGCCAACGGTCAAACAATTGCAGCAGAAAATATCGGCAGTCTACTTTTGACATCAGTCGATACGGGAAAGTCTTTATGCCTTACCAGCGTTTTACTCGTCGACAATCTTGGCTTCAATTTAGTGTCAACTCTTCAACTCTTGAAGAAGAAAATCCGCACGGTCGGAAACTGCACGATACTGGAGCAAGAGTTGATACATGATGTGGACAACACGTACATCGGAAAAGCAGCAACAAAAAATGGCGTATTCGTCTTACGGTTCAAAGCCGAACAACCTTCTGAAGATACCACTCCTCTTCAAGCTCCATCAATCATCGCAGCCGCCGCTTTGGTGACCGTTCCACCGATTGAACTCAACAGCAGCGAAGATGAAACTCCGAGTAGCAGCACCACCGACATCTTTGCCGACACACCTGCCGTTAATATCAAAGAAGATATCAGTCAAGAACACGAGGAAAATCTGCAAATCGCTCCTGAAAAATTCTTCGACGCTACAACTACTATCGACAAACCTTCTCACAATTCTTCAACAGCCAGTCTCGACCAGTCTGCAGAAACATCTTCAACTACCACTCTACCGGAGACAGCAAGCGAGCTCAGTACCCCGCTGCAAAATCTCCTATCCTACAGCGAAGTAGATTACCACACTACGAGTTCCAACGACTACGAGCAAGGCATGGGCATCAACTGCTACCCAACCCCTCGTCATCGCGTTCAAGAAAGCAACGAAGTAGATGGGTTGAACAGTACCCTATACGAGCTACGTGAGCAGCTGCGTGCACTGCTGACTCAACAAATTGCTCTGCCCGAAACTGCACCATCAGATCTGCCCGTCACTTCACAGTTCTTTTACAAGCCTCCGAATGATATCGCGGCTCCTCTCCACCTTCAATGGCGCAATCCCAACCACTTTCCACCCGACTCCTTTTTACTCTGCCGAAGTGAGGGGGGAAGGAGGATCTACACGCACTTCGTCAAAGCCAAAATTCGTCATCAACAAGGGAAGAACGCGATTGGTCTACCGTTTGACCAATGGAATGACCGCCGACTACTTACAGCACATCAAGTTTACACGTCACAAAATTCCAAATTGCAGATTTCGTTCGCCGGACTCCAACCACGACGTGACTACATCGAACTTCCAGGAATGAAGGGGAGTGTTGTGGTAAATGAAGTTTCGCATTCCTGCAAGTTCCGTTTTCAGTGTAGTTAGCAGTATCGAGTTTCTCAGTAAGTAAACAGGTCCGAGTGATGATGTCAGCATACCGCTTCAGTTACGCGATTAGGCATAACGAACCGCTTCAGTCACGCGAACAGTCGCGACCCTATAGAATGACGAATAGGTCGCATAGCGCGATAGTGATGAACAGGTACATTAGCGAACAGGTACTTTCCCTAGAGCTATAAATCCTTGTAATGCCTTTCTATTATTAACCTTGACTTTCCACAGAATTATGTGCTCATGTTATTCAACCTTCGACTACCCACAAGTTCATGTGCTCAGGTTCACTCTGATAAGACTTCCGCTGTCTTACTAGTCTACCATTCCAGCAAAGATCCTTGGTTAAATACTCGTGTTAGCAGATTCTACACTTAGTCTCCTGCAACACCAGACGATTTACTTCAGTTGCGACCTCGTAACTAGGATTTTGCTGCAAGAACGAAAGTTCATGCAGCTCTACGCGTCCAATTGCGTGCTGTGAGCAAGTGCTTTTCATTTTGCACCAATCAGGCCCGTGCATCTCTTTCTCTTATGCATGCTAATGGCACTTTCGGAACAGTGCCGTTTCGGACAAAAAACAGGGGGCCACAACACGTAGACGATTTTTGAAGCACTCTCCTTCGAGTTGGGCCTCCCTTTGCTATTCTAGCTTTGGGCTTTAACAAACAAATGTCTCACTTGTGCTTGGGTGGTTTCTGGAGGACCACACGGACGTGAGACCAAAATGGAACAAGAAAGCAACTTTCGCCAATGAGTACTACCTTCCCAATAATATAACTGGGAACATATCATTATTGTAGCCTAAACCACTAGCAATAAACATATGGCAATTTTACAACATATGTATTAAAATAGCATACGTGAGAGTGAAAGCCCGGTATAAATCGCTGTCCAATATTTGGCCTAAGAACAGAGAAGCTGTGCGGCACTGGAGTACGAGGGTCAAACGAACAGGCGTTCGCGCCCGTAGACCGCCGCTTAGGGCTGGTCCCCAAAAATCGTTAAAGCCCCCGTCTCATAATTCTAGGATCCGACCAAGTGTAAAATGCTTGGTACCCAGTTACGCTGGCGAATTTGAAGAGACAGGCAAGGAAGTGCCTCGGACAGTGTGTTTCTTGCTGGGGGGCGAGACCAATTGTAAAACCAGCAGTGAAAGATGAGAATGAGCAAGTTCACGGAAGAATGGGGACGTTGGACCGTTCGATCGTCTAGAAATTCGGATCCGACGGTTCAGCGAGTGTATTACTAAATCTACCGCTGTAAACGATGTGGAATTTGGCTGTGCAGGAAAATTGGATTCTGCACCGTCCGATGTAAAACGAACCTCCAGACTGATGTGCAAAACCTATCGCGAGCCACCATTCCCCAAACCTGTTTTTGGTTCGGGTGTTTTGCCGAAACAAAATGGTCTCGCCACTTGCGTTTCGTTTTCGTCATTTTTTTTATACCTCGTCTACCAATCAGAGTTTGCCTGCTCCAACCAAGTGTAAAACTCTAGTAATTATGAGACGGGGGCTTTAACCCATTTTTGACAGGCAGAGCCGTTTGACGGTATGCAATGTGAATCGATTTTGAAACAGATCCCGATTTCGGAACAGGTCTGAAATGAAGGGTGCAGTTCGAAAGGACAGCACCGAGACCAGCACAGACAGAGGAGCGGGTAACGGGATCCCGCCATGCGCAACCAGCGCGATGCGCGTGTAACAAAATGAGGGCCAATCGGCGCAGCGGGATAGGTTTTTCGTTAGTGACGCGCGAGGCTGCGAATTGTCGCTAGAGAATTTCGCTAGAGTGGTGCTGGTACTGGTTGGCAAACTGGATTTTTGTGTGGTCTTTTTTTGTCGTGCGGAGGTACCTGGAAACGCGCGCTGGGGTCCGCTAATTTCGGGTGTGAGCTGGGCGTGTCTTGTTCGGGCTGTTTTATGGCTACACACCTGAAAGTGGTAACTAAACTCGGTGCTGAACAGGGCAAGTACTTTAGTGACACGCCCTTACGGACTCACCCCCCCTCCCGCCCCGTTTACGACCAAGTAACCTCCGCCCCCCCGCTCGGCAAAGGGCAATCTCCGACTGGCTCCGTGTTTGCCCATTTTACATTTTTGCGATGTCCCTTCCGCAATTTTCGCTTATTGCCGTGCTGCTGCTCTCACCGGCCTTCACGGCCCCGCTGCCGGACGGAGGGGGAGTTGGCGGAGGGGAGGTGCGCAGATGGGGGACTGGCGGATGGATGCAGGGATCGGAGGGCGGATGGGGGAAGGGCGGGTGGGGCGTGGGGGTGGGTGCGGCGGGCGCAACGATGGCGGCGGAGTGCTTGGAGGCGGGCCGGCGACTGCAGCAGGCGATGTGGGACATCGAGCAGCGGTGAGCGCAGCGGTGAGGGGGGAAGAGGGGGCGGGGGGATGTGATTAGCGGAAAGGAGCATGTCGGCGAGAGGGCGAACGGGGGAGGAATGGGGATATCGGGAAGGGGTAAGGCGAGACGGTGAACAGGGGAGGAATGGGGATGGCTGGAAGGGGGAGGAATGGGGATGGCGGAAAGGGGGAGGAATGGGGATGGCGGGGAGGGGGAGGAATGGGGATGGCGGGAAGGGGGAGGAATGGGGATGGCGGAAAGGGGGAGGAATGGGGATGGCGGGGAGGGGGAGGAATGGGGATGGCGGGGAGGGGGAGGAATGGGGATGGCGGAAAGGGGGAGGAATGCGGATGGCGGGGAGGGAGAGGAATGGGGATGGCGGGGAGGGGGAGGAATGGGGATGGCGGGGAGGGGGAGGAATGGGGATGGCGGAAAGGGGGAGGATTGCGGATGGCGGGGAGGGGGAGGAATGGGGATGGCGGGGAGGGGGAGGAATGGGGATGGCGGAAAGGGGGAGGAATGGGGATGGCGGAAAGGGGGAGGAATGCGGGTGGCGGGGAGGGGGAGGAATGGGGATGGCGGGGAGGGGGAGGAATGGGGATGGCGGGGAGGGGGAGGAATGGGGATGGCGGAAAGGGGGAGGATTGCGGATGGCGGGGAGGGGGAGGAATGGGGATGGCGGGGAGGGGGAGGAATGGGGATGGCGGGGAGGGGGAGGAATGGGGATGGCGGGGAGGGGGAGGAATGGGGATGGCGGGGAGGGGGAGGAATGGGGATGGCGGGGAGGGGGAGGAGCGGAGACGGTGAATGGGAAGGCGATGACTGCAGCGGACAAGGTGGAGACCGAGGTGAGGAAGCGTCAGTGTGAAGCGCCGAGAGGCAGATGGATTGGGTGCCGGGGTTTGGGGGAAGGGAAGGCACACACCAATGGGGGAGGGAAGGCACACACCAATGGGGGAGGGAAGGCACACACCAATGGGGGAGGGAAGGCACACACCAATGGGGGAGGGAAGGCACACACCAATGGGGGAGGGAAGGCACACACCAATGGGGGAGGGAAGGCACACACCAATGGGGGAGGGAAGGCACACACCAATGGGGGAGGGAAGGCACACACCAATGGGGGAGGGGGACTTTCCTTCCCCCGCCTTCCTCCCCTCTTTCTCACCCCCTCCCTAAGTTGGCACTTTACGCCCATACCGGTCGCGTAAACGTACAGTTACGTGTACGTTTACGTTTGTTTACGCGTAAGTTTTTTGTGGAGTCGTACGGGCAGGGCTAAAAAAAACGCGGAAAAAAAAATCGCGAAATTGGAAGCTACGCAGCCCGTATTAGGTGTGAAAGGCGGTTGCGACGTGGTGTATTTCCCGGGACTGGGTCTAGAAGGATTCCGCAAGCTCGGAGACGTTTAGCCGCCGATACGCCAAGCGACCAATCGGTAGCACTGTCGTGTCCAGCGGCGGATGTCCCAAACTCTGAGGTGGCGGATTAGGAGCAAAATCGTCAAGCGTGAGAGAGTAATAGTGATTTCGCTCCAGGAATACCAAGGGACGTGGGCGCTGGATCCACGGCAGGCGGGGGGGAGGGGGATTGGGTATAATCTACTTCGACTAGGCTATGTGGATTGGCTTAGGTACTAAGTCGTGCTAGGTTTCCGAAGACGGGGAGATCTGTTGGTATTTGGGGAGACGAGGATGTCAGATGCCGTTCATAGGAAGCTCCGCGGGGTGCGTTGCGAAACTTGCTTCCTGACGAGTTGGAGCTTCGCCACACTTGCGACGAGTTGGAAATTGGATTGTTCACTGGAATGAGGGCACGTTCCTACCGGGTGTCAAAAGCGCGTGTCAGGGAACCTCGTGTCAAATCCTGCCCCTAAGATCTGACACGAGGTGTAAAAATTTTCGGGCAGGGTGAAAAACTTTCTAACAGACCGTAAACGTAAAGCATTTTTGGGCCCACGTACGTAAACGTAACTTTACTACGTAAACTACCGTAAACGTAAACCAACGTAAACGTAAGGTGCCAACTTAGCCCCCTCCTACCACCTCTCCCAAATGTGGCTTCTATTGCCCGTGCTTTTACGTGCTCCTCCTCCCCATATTTTCTTCCCCCCCGCCCCCTCCCTCCACATCCCCCTCTCCTCTCCCTGTGCGCCATGATCAGATCTTGTGTTGCAGACCACCTTGGAGGTGATTACCGCAGCGACCCAGCTGTCACCTTCATCTGCTCTTTCGCTCTCCGTCTCTTCCTGCTTCCTCCCCTTCTCTCCCTCTGTTTCGCACTCTCCCTCTGTTTCGCACTCTCCCTCTGTTTCGCACTCTCCCTCTGTTTCGCCGTCTCCCTCTGTTTCGCACTCTCCCTCTGTTTCGCACTCTCCCTCTGTTGCGCACACTCTCCCTGTCCCTGCCCGTCCTATCAGAAGCTCTTCTTTGCGGTTTCTCTCCGCTCTCCGCTCCTTCTTCACCCCTCCCCCTTCCCCTGTTGCCTGGATGCTTCAAATGCTGCATTCCGTATTCCTCCCCCCCCCTTCCTTCCCCCTCCGATTTGCAGCCTCTGGTTGTCACCTCTCAGAGCCATGGAGGTTGCGCGGTGCCGCAGCTACGAGGAGATGCAGTGGTGAAGGGCTCAGCCCCTGATCCTGCCGCTGCACCACTTTCTGCTGCTGCTTCCAGGAGGCCGCTCGCTTCCTACTACCCTCCCTCCTCCCCCTCCCAGGTATGGGGCGGATCTCGTGCTCAGGAGCGTGGCCTTCGACCCACCGGAGCACCGGTTCCTGGTGCTGCTGGCGAAGCTGCTGGCGGGGCGGGCGCTCACCGTGCTGGCGGTGGGCGGCTCCATCTCTGCTGCGGGCCACCTGCCCGGGGGGGTGGCGCACGGCACCGGCACGTACGGCCAGGCGCTCATGGACTGGCTGCAGCAGGTGGGCAGCGGCAGGTGGGCGTCAGCAGGTGGGCGGCAGCAGGTGGGCGGCAGCTAAGCATGCACAACAAATCCTAATCCTCGAATCCGGATTCGAAATCGACTCGGAATATATGGCTGGTATTTCACCACCATTCGACTGGAAAAGAATTGACTTCGCGAATAGATTCGACGAAGGATTCGGGCCAGCGGGGGGAGAGGGCGGAAGGGAGCTTACCTTCAGCGCGGTGTGCAACGTGTGGCATAACAGCGGATCCGCTTCTCTAAGCTGTCATCACTGCCGCATCTCGGATCTGCGCCTGCAGAATCGTGGATTTGCCTCCTAAGCAGGAGACTCGCAGGGGAATCCCGGGTCTGCATTTCTAGGCGAATATGTATGTTGCTGTGGAATAGCGAATCCGCCTTCCTAAGCTGGAATTCCAGTGCGATATCGCGCATCTGCCTTTCTAAGTGGGATTTCTGCCAAAGCACTGCAGACCCGCCTCCCTAAACGAGGGTCTTGCAGCGGAGGCGCAAATCTGCCTTTCTAACCGCAGCTCCAAACATGCGGAACTACCTCGCAACAAAGTTTGCAAGAAGATTTCATGGAGATAGAGACTCGCAACCACTTTGAGAAAGGGCTCGGATTTGACTCGGATTTGGCCTCAACTATTCGGCAACTCGAATCCGACCTACTATTCGGCCAAAGATTCGAGGAAGTACTTGGATTCGGATTCGAGACTCATTGTTCATGCTTACCAGCAGCTGTGGTTTGAGGCAGGGAGAAAATGAGAGAGGGTAGAGAGAGGGGGGGGAGGGGATATGAGAGGGTTGGAGAGGGTGGGGAGAGGGTGGGGAGAGGGTGGGGAGAGGGTGGGGAGAGGGTGTGGAGAGGGTGGGGTGATGGTGGGGAGAGGGTGGGGAGAGGGTGGGGAGAGGGTGGGGAGAGGGTGGGGAGGGAGAGGATGGGGAGGGGGTGGGGAGGGGGTGTGAGGGTAGAAGGTGGGATAACAGTCCAAGCGGTTGGGGGGAGGGCAATGGTGGTGAGAGGGAAACGATGAGGACTGCTGCTGGTGAACGCCACACTGCTTCCTCCGGGCGCTGCCTCGGCATAGTTGCCAGGGCAGGCGGTGATGCATGTTGCATGTTGCATGTCGCATGTTGCATGTTGCATGTCGCATGTTGCATGTTGCATGTTGCATGTTGCATGTCACATGTCGCATGTTGCATGTTGTTTGGTGTGTATTGTGTGGTGTGTGTTGCATGTGCTCGGTGCATAGTGTGTGCTGCATGCTTCGTAAGGCACAACGAATCGTGCATGATGCAAAGAGAGATGCAGCTGGGGTGATAGACAGAGCTCCTCCCTTTCTTCCTTCTCCCGTCGCTGCCATTCCACCCTTTTTACTCCCGATTAGAGCACGAGCATAAACGGATCAGGTCGCTCAAGGCCAGCGGCAACAAGTAGACCAGCATTTGTCCTTCCGTCTGTCCCCCCACCTCTCTTTCCTCATTCATGTGTTCCCTCTCCTCTTTCGCCCCCCCCTTCATTTCCAAAAGGGCATCTAGAGCTGTTTTATGAAGGTTAGTTGTGCCTCCCCTCCGCATCTCCTCATTCACTCTGCAGGTGTTCCCCACACCCCCCTCCGCGCCCCCCCACCGCCTGATCCGCTCCTTCCTGCCGGGCGCGGGGTCGTCCATTCTGCACTTCTGCGCGGGCGAGCTGGTGGAGGGTCTGTGGGCGGACGGCGCAGAGCAGCGGCGCGCGGCGGGGGAGGCGGACGTGGTGCTGCTGGAGTGCGCTGCCAACGACTGGTCGCTGCTGCAGCCCGGCATGCAAGCTCCTGCTGGTAGGGCGAATGGCTGGGAGGTGGAACGCCAGTTTCATGGCATGGTGGCATGATGGCATGGTGGCATGATGGCATGGTGGCATGATGGCATGGTGGCATGATGGCATGGTGGCATGATGGCATGGTGGCATGATGGCATGATGGCATGATGGCATGACGGCATGGTGGCATGGTGGCGTGATGGCATGGTGGCGTGATGGCATGGTGGCATGATGGCATGATGGCATGATGGCATGGCGGCATGATGGCGTGATGGCATGATGGTATGGTGGCATGGTGGCATGATGGCATGGTGGCATGATGGCATGGTGGCATGGTGGCATGGTGGCATGGTGGCATGGTGGCAGGATGGCATGATGGCATGATGGCATGATGGCACGATGGCATGGTGGCATGGTGGCATGATGGCATGGTGGCATGGTGGCATGATGGCATGGTGGCATGATGGCATGGTGGCATGATGGCATGATGGCATGGTGGCATGATGGCATGGTGGCATGATGGCATGGTGGCATGACGGCATGACGGCATGATGGCATGATGGCATGGTAGCATGATGGCATGGTGGCATGGTGGCATGATGGCATGATGGCATGATGGCATGGTGGCATGGTGACATGATGGCATGGTGGCATGGTGGCATGGTGGCATGATGGCATGGTGGCATGATGGCATGGTGGCGTGATGGCATGGTGGCATGATGGCATGGTGGCATGATGGCATGGTGGCATGATGGCATGATGGCATGATGGCATGGTGGCATGATGGCATGGTGGCATGATGGCATGGTGGCATGGTGGCATGATGGCATGATGGCATGATGGCATGATGGCATGGTGGCATCGTGGCATGATGGCATGGTGGCATGGTGGCATGATGGCATGGTGGCATGATGGCATGGTGGCATGATGGCATGGCGGCATGGTGGCATGATGGCATGATGGCATGATGGCATGGTGGCATGGTGGCATGGTGGCATAATGACATGGTGGCATGATGGCATGGTGGCATGGTGGCATGATGGCATGATGGCATGATGGCATGATGACATGATGGCATGGTGGCATGATGGCATGGTGGCATGATGGCATGGTGGCATGGTGGCATGGTGGCAGGATGGCATGATGGCATGATGGCATGGTGGCATGGTGGTATGATGGCATGGTGGCATGGTGGCATGATGGCATGGTGGCATGGTGGCATGATGGCATGATGGCATGGTGGCATGGTGGCATGATGGCATGGTGGCATGATGGCTTGGTGGCATGACAGAATGGCATGGTGGCATGACAGAGTGGCATGGTGGAGTCGCGTGGAGTGGCGTTATGGAGTCGTGTGATTTGTGTGGGACGGATGGGATGAGGTGGTTTGAGACGCATGCACGCCCACAGACCTGCATGCCAGTCTGTCACTTGCCGTTGCCCTCTCCCTCCAATGTTGGTCAGGGGAGGTCGTTATGCCGTGCGATGATGCGCTGCCACAAACTATTGAACGTCACTCTTGTGCTTAACAGTGCCTGCCTCCTCTTGTCCCTTCATAATTTCCCCTCTTTATCCCCACTCCAACATCGTGTCTGTCCTTCCCGACTCTCCTCTCCGTCGCCTACCCCCATCCCCAACCCCACCCCCACCAGAGGGCACGCAGTACGCGGCAGCCGAGGGTTTGCTGCGGCAGTTTCTTCTGCTGCCCTCGCACCCGCTGGTGCTCTTCCTCAACTTCGGCGTGCACCACCCGCGCGACCCACTGCTCTCCGCCTTCCACCACTCCGCTGAGTCCCTCCTCAACCACCTCTCAGCCTATTACAGCGTGCCAGCTGTTAGCCCCTGGCGAGCCTATTTCCCCGCCATTGCAACGGCAGCTTCCCCATCCTGTCCAGCCTCGGCCGAAGCTTCATCTGGGCCTGCGGGCAAGCCCTTGCTCACCCTGCCGTCATCCGTGCGAGCAGAGAACCTGTCGTGGGCGCACCTGTTTGTGGACCGCGTGCATCCGTCCGTGGCGGGGCACGGCATGGCGGGCAGCCTTGTGGCGCACCGCCTCTTCGCGCTCGCCCTGCACCACCTGCGCCGCGAGGGGCTTTCCCTCTCCCGCCACCACCTGCGCCTCGACTGGGTGGACGGCCGCGCGGCGCCCTCCACCCAGTCCGCCCTGCTGTGCCCGCCGCACTCCCTCTGCCACAAGTGCTTTGGCGACTTGGGCTTCTCCGCGCTCGGCCTGCCCCTCTCAGCGCCCTGCATGCTGCCCCCCTTGCAGAGTGCTGCTGACCCGCATCCGCGCTGCGTGCTGGGGACGAGCTGGAACGTGACTGCTGTGGGAGGGGTGGAGTTTCCCGAGGGCTATGTGGCAGTTAGAGAGGCGGCCTCTAAAGGGGATGCTGTCAGTGCAAAGAGGATTGAAGAGGCCAGTGTGTCCTGGGTTATGGAGGCATGCGGACCGCTGGTGCCTCAGATATTCTGCTGGAAGGCTCAGGCTGCTCGTGCCCCTCTACGTGTGGCAGTGGATGTGAGAGGGGCTGCACGAGGGGTGGGGATCGTGTACAAGATGATGGACTGGCAGAAGGAGGAGCACAAGCTGGACGGGGCAGATGTGCAGGTGAATGGGAGGGATGTAGGGTTCTTGCAAGTGCCCGTTGTCGGAAATACTCTTACACACTGGAGGCTCAATAGCAGTCTGATTCCTCTAGGGGTCGAAGAAGTGCACGAGGGGCATGTTCTGTTGACAATTGTGCCCCGTACAAAATGGTTCCACATCGTGGCATTTGTCGTCGAATAGTCGATGTTTGTGCTAGTGCTTGCCATTGTCAAGAGACACGCTGGGGTTGCCCTTGAGATCTTCGGGGAAGGGCCACAATTGCAGAGCCTGGGGGGTTATGGGCGCACTTGTTAGAGTAGCGGAAAAAAGTGTGACTACGGGAAAATGTCGAGGGACACAAAACTAGGGCTGTACTCGCCAGAGTCTCAAATATCAGACGAAATCGGTCTGATCTGAAAATCAGACATCTGATTTTTTTACGGGCTAAATTAATTCGTCTGATCGTTCGGATTAAGCCACAAGATTTCGTCTGAAAGTTCATGTTGGGCTGAGAAAAGCCCTTAGGATCTTTCCAGAGACTTGTTGAAAGTACATCAAAAGACTTAAGCGTTTCTGAAGTGTAACACTACACTCGAGGAAGATTGCAAGGGGTACGCGAGTCAACGGAGGTTACACGAGGGGGCGGACAAAGAACACGAAGGGTTTGGGACTCAAAGGGTCGCAACTGGAGGTTGCGACTGACCGTTACAACAGCACGGATGGTAACCGAAGCGACAATCGAGTCGCTGTACGACTCGATAAACCGCTACTGCAACTGTACTCTACAACTGTTTCTTATCTTCTATATATTGCTGTATGTTTGCCTTTTTATTATCACTTGTTCTCACATACTAGTACAAGGGTTCAACTGCCTCAACTTCCGCTGCACTACCCCAAGTCTTTACAGTTGGGACTTAGTCTCTGGAAAGATCCCAAGGGCTTTTCTCAGCCCAACATGGTATGAGAGCTGGTCAGAGACCAAACTCCCAGCAACTACGTTCTATCACCAACCTGCAACTCAACTCAATTCAACGACTTCATTGATTGCAAGACATGGACAGCAAGGGCAAGAAAGTCTCTACGGGCTCACCCAGCGGCCAAGAAACTCAACACGGCAACTCTGGTCTGCACACCTCAGGACTGCAGACAGAGACCGGGACTGCTCAAGAAACAACGGGAAGAGTACCAGAGATGGTTACTCCATCTCCCTCTTCAAGCGTGGACCCCAACCTTATGGAAAGGTTCTTCAGCTTCATGTCGCACTTCGACCAGCAGCAGCAGACAAGAACACCTGCGCATTCAACACAGAGCAATGGAGGAAACATGGGATTAGCGCCGATGAGCCTCGACAACTCATCCTTCGGACGACACAACCAAGCGCCTACCTTTGCGCCGTATCATTCTTCACCGGGGACGTTCGAGTTCATGCCGCCCCGCGCCCAACCAACAGCAGCTGCATCACAACAAACACCAAACGAGATTCTCAGTCTTCAGGCTCAATTCTCACACGTTATTAAGTTACAAACATCCTCACCGTTCAACGGACACGACTTCTTTACCTGGAGCTTCGAGTTCGAGCTGCTGATGGAGGCCGCGCATCTTCTGGGATACTTCAACGGGTCCCTGCCATTTCCAAGCAACGGCACTGGAAAGGAGCAAGAGATCTTCACGTATCAGTCGCTGCTGGCGTATACAGTCCTCCTGCGGAACCTGTCACCACAAGAACAGCAGAGCATCAGAACATATCGGAGTTATGGGAACTCCGCGGAACTCGCATGGCATCATCTCAAGTGCCTTTATCAAGCAAACGACAGCGTGACGCAAAGCAGACTCATGCAACAACTGACAACAATACAGATGAAGACCGGGGAAAAGGCAATGCAATATATGAGTCGATGCCAGACTCTCCGCGACCGCCTGCTTCGGTGCGGAGGAACAATCACTGAAGAAAGCTTCGTGACACTTGTCCTCGCCGGGCTCGGGCCAGAATGGAGAACCACACGATCACTTCTTCGCGCCCACGGAAGAATTTCGGAGATGCACCTCTGCGCCGAGCTTCACGCTGAACAACAGGAGATGGACCTGTTCGAAGAAAGGCAACCAAGGAAGCAGCAGCAGTTAGTCTTCTACACTCAACGAAGAAACGACAACACCTACAATCGACACAGCAAGCAAGAGCGCGACAACAGAGGGACTACCTTTGTGCCGCCGTTCTGCCACAACTGTCAGACTTCCGGGCACTCCAAGGTCCACTGCAACCGCCCTCGCGTTTACCGTCCAGCAGACCCACAAGTTGCTTCAACCCAAGCAAGTCCCCCAAGGCGCTCTTCAACATCTGCACAACAGACACCAAACATTATCAATTGCATGGTACACATCGACAACTGTGCACCCGGCTCACCACCCACTTACGCGCCAGACGAAGAAGAGCTCCCGCCACCACGCTCACAAGGACTTCAAGTCAATCCGACGTACGCTGCGGTCGCCAACGCCGAACCAACCGGACGAAACACCTGGTTCCTGGACAGCTGCTGCGGTCAACACATGTGCTCCTCGGGACGCTTCGTGCAACAGGAGAAACGGCTCAACCGCGACGTCGTCATCACCGTCGCCAACAACGAAAACCTGAAGACAAACAGACAAGGCGTGGTTCAGTTACAATCCATGGAGACAAACGTAATACTTCAGCTCAACAAAGTACTCATCGTCGACAACTTGGGATACAATCTACTAAGCGTAAGCCAACTAATGGCCAAGGGGATTCACCTGGAGTGCGACTCCCTCTCCAACGAGTTCCGGCTTTACCACGGGAAGGGCGGCCTCTTCATAGGACGTGCCCTCCTGAAGTCCGGTGTCTTCGTGTTGGACTTTGTCCCCGACCGCGGTACTGCCGACAGCGACGGTATCGTATCGTTCGCCGCCTGGACACACCCGCCGGATCTTGATCCCGACTTCGACAGTGACGGCTTCTGGCACTCCAACACCATACCTGCAGCAGAAAGAACACGAGCATTAGCAGTTATCAGACAAGAACGGCAAGTACCAACAAGCGTCCAGTCCCAACCATCACCTGCAGTAGCAGCAGCAGGACCAAGCCGAGTACCACCACCGGCAGTCCGAGGACCGCCAACCGAAGCAGATCAACTTATGCCCATCACACGAGAAGTCTGTCGAAGTCCCGCCACAGTCGTCGCATTCTTCTCCAACGCCGACATATACCACCGCTCACCCGGCCATCGCGCTCCCGACGACATCTGGCACCAACGCCTCGGGCACCCTGCAAATAGTACAACACTACAAACCATCCAAGCCGAAGTGTTAGAACGCAACGCCCTCCTAACAACGAACGGCCAAGAACTTCGACGACCTCGCGCACGGTGCTTCACGTGCCCCGAAGCAGATCTTCCTCATCAACCCTTCCCATCACATCATAATCCAAGCGCGCCTGCATATGCAACGATGGAAAAAGTCTACAGCGACATCTTGAACATGCCTCGAGACGACACGGAAGCCGACGTCAACTACGTCATCACCTTCGTCGATGCAGCAACAAGATACACTTGGCATTACAACCTCAAGACGCGCGATCAAGCCTTTGACGCCTTCACAACATGGCTCCCCATCGCCGAACGGGAATCAGGAACCAAGCTAAAAAGTTTCCAGTCAGACGGCGCACTGGAATACCAGTCACAACGCTTCAGGACCTATCTGGCGGAAAGAGGAATCAGGCGCCTGGTGTCCCTACCATACGCTCACCAGCAGCAGGGGATCGCAGAACGCATGAACCGGACCTTGCAGACGACAATGCGAAAGCTGCTCCTGGGAATGAAACTGCCCAACACACTGTGGCCAGACGCGATGACACATGCAGTCCACCTGCACAACCTGTTGTCCTCGTCATCGCTCCCCAACAACGCATCACCACACCTGCTGTGGACGGGAAAAAGGGGCAGCACAAAATTACTTCGAGTTTTCGGCTGCATGGTACAATACAGACCCCACACAGCTCGAGCAGGACGCTTCACTCAACGAGCTCGGTGGGGACTACACCTCGGCATCGCCAAACATTTTCACGCGTGGAAGATTCTCGACATACAAGACAAAAATACGGTGGCATCACGTGATGTTATCTTCTACGAGCGACTGACGCTGCAGCATTACCTGGACAACATTGCCAACTCAGACGACCCCACCGATGGCTTCGCGGGCCTTCGCTCCTTCGCTGACCATGCTGCCGAGGCTGACGCAGCAGAAGAAGACGTCCCTGGAGCCTCGGAGGCTGCCGGACCACTCCCCTACTGCTCCGTACCTGTTCCACTCGATGAAGATAATCCCCTCGATAGCAACAACCTCGACACCTTTTACCACTTCGCTGACCAAGGCTACGCTACACCACACCCCGTCGACTCGAATATTTCCGAACGCATCGGGCCAAACTTCTTACCCGATCCTGAAGACGGTGATGAAGCAGCATATCCCGGGAATGAAAATTCCCCTCGACACACAGCCACGGGACTGCAGATCCTAGGACTATGGGTCTCCGTCCAGCACCCGCCGCCGCCTTCTCCGCGCGAGCCATCGACCCTGTCGCAGGCTCTGGGGGGGGAACATAAGGCGGAATGGAAGGAAGCAATGGAAAAAGAGTTAAAAGCCCTCCAAGACCGGAATACATGGAAGTTAGTACCGACAACCAACACCAACGGGAGGAACATTCTCTCGGGGAAATGGGTGCACCGCATTAAGACCAACGCGGACGGCTCCATCGAACGTTTTAAAGCGCGATGGGTCGTACGAGGCTTCGACCAACGATACGGAACCGACTACACAGAGACCTTCGCCCCAGTCTCCCGTCACACCTCCCTGCGCATCCTACTCGCCGTCGCGGCCACGAAGAAACTACCACTACGGCAAATCGACGTCGCAAACGCCTTCTTGTACGCACCTGTGGACGCTGAGATCTTCGTCGAACAACCCCACGGATTCATCGACGACCCTTCAAAAGTATGCCAGCTGGAAAAATCCCTTTACGGGATCAAGCAAGCCCCACGGCTCTGGCAGCAGCACCTTCACGGCCGGCTCGTAAAAATCGGATTCCTACAGTTACCACATGACCAAGGCATGTACCGACTGCAGAAGGGAAGAGATTACATTCTGCTCATAGTCTACGTCGACGACCTGCTCTACATCGGTTCTACCACCGACATTGTCACCTGGTTCGAAGGGGAGCTGAAAGGGGACCTGACGCTCACGGTGTCCGACTCAGTGACCCAGTACTTGGGACTAAATGTCGTCGAAGACAACTCGGCGTTCTACCTACACGCTGGAAAGTACGCAGGCACTGTCGCGAAGAAATTCGGACTGACGCCGACTACGGTCCCGACTCCCTACCGCTACGGAAACAACAACAGCGCCTCCGCAAAACTCCCCGCGAAGCAAATCCAGGAGTATCAACAGAAGCTCGGTTGCCTACTATTCGCAGCAGTCACCTGCCGACCCGACCTGTCCTATAGTGCGAGTCAACTAGCGACGCATCTGAAGCAACCGGAACAGGAAGATCTCGAGGAACTCAACCGGGCACTACTCTACTTCGTCTCCACACCGACGATCGGACTTACCTACAGCAAAGCGACAACACCGTCCGTACAACTACTCGGATACGTCGACGCCGACCACGCGGGAGACAGGGAAAATCGACGATCTAGGACGGGCTACATCTACCGACTAGAACCCATCGGAACTATCTCCTGGCAGTCGAGCAAGCAGGAGTTAATCGCACTATCCTCGTCTGAAGCAGAGTACATCGCCCTTTGTACTGCGACCAAGGAAGGACTCTACCTGCGAGAGTTACTCGAGGAAGCGAAGATCACGACCCTGCCCGCCTTCTCACTCTTCTGCGACAACCAATCTGCGATCAAAATCGCAAACAAGGACGGCTTCGCCAACCGAACCAAACACATCGCCCTGCGGTACTTCTTCGTCAAAGATGAAATCGCGAAAGGGAGACTTCAACTCAGTTACTGCCCGACAACAGAAATGGCCGCAGACTATTTGACGAAGAAATTGGCAAAAGCAAAATTCGACTACTGCATGTTGCTGACCGGACAAACAAACGTCATCGGACCTGAACAAGTCAACACTCCAGAAACGAAGGGGAGTGTTGAAAGTACATCAAAAGACTTAAGCGTTTCTGAAGTGTAACACTACACTCGAGGAAGATTGCAAGGGGTACGCGAGTCAACGGAGGTTACACGAGGGGGCGGACAAAGAACACGAAGGGTTTGGGACTCAAAGGGTCGCAACTGGAGGTTGCGACTGACCGTTACAACAGCACGGATGGTAACCGAAGCGACAATCGAGTCGCTGTACGACTCGATAAACCGCTACTGCAACTGTACTCTACAACTGTTTCTTATCTTCTATATATTGCTGTATGTTTGCCTTTTTATTATCACTTGTTCTCACATACTAGTACAAGGGTTCAACTGCCTCAACTTCCGCTGCACTACCCCAAGTCTTTACAGTTGGGACTTAGTCTCTGGAAAGATCCCAAGGGCTTTTCTCAGCCCAACAAGACTAAGTCCCAGTTGAAGAATGAGACTTGAGTAGTGCAGCGGAAGTTGAGTAGTTGAACCCTTGTACTATTATATGAGAACAAGTGATTGATTAAAAGAAACAAGCATACAGCAATATATAGAAAATAGGAAAGTAAAGCAGTTGTAGAATACAGTTGCAGGAGCGGTTATCGAGTCGCACAGCGACTCGATTGTCGCTTCGGTTACCATCCGCGCAGTTGTAACGGTCAGTCGCAACCTCCAGTTGCGACCCTTCGAGTCCCTTCGCGTTCTTTGTCCACCCCTCGTGTAACCTCCGTTGACTCGCGTACCCGTTACGATCTTCCTCGAGTGTGGTGTTACACTTCAGAAACGCTTAAGTCCTTCGAGATATTTCCAACACTCCCCTTCGTTTCTGGAGTGCTGACGTGTTCAGATCCGGTGACGTTTGTCTGCCCGGTCAGCTGCGTGCAGTAATCAAACTTTGCCTTCGCCAATTTCTTCGTCAGATAGTCTGCGGCCATTTCTGTCGTAGGGCAGTAACCGAGTTGAAGTCTCCCCTTCGCGATTTCATCCTTGACGAAGAAGTACCGCAGGGCGATGTGCTTGGTTCGGTTGGCGAAGCCGTCCTTGTTCGCGATTTTGATCGCAGATTGGTTGTCGCAGAGGAGTGAGAAGACGGGCAGGGTCGCAATCTTTGCTTCCTCGAGTAACTCACGCAGGTAAAGTCCTTCCTTGGTCGCGGTGCAGAGGGCGATATATTCTGCATCAGCCGAAGATAGTGCGATTAGTTCCTGTTTGCTCGACTGCCAGGAGATAGTCCCGATAGGTTCTAGTCGGTAGATGTAGCCCGTCCTTGAGCGTCGGTTTTCCCTGTCTCCCGCGTGGTCGGCGTCGACGTATCCGAGTAGTTGTACGGACGATGTCGTTACTTTACTGTAGGTAAGTCCGGTCGTCGGCGTGGAGACGAAGTAGAGTAGTGCCCGATTAAGTTCCTCGAGATCTTCTTGTTCCGGCTGCTTCAGATGCGTCGCCAGTTGGCTCGCGCTATAAGATAGGTCGGGTCGGCAGGTTACTGCTGCGAATAGTAGGCAGCCGAGCTTCTGCTGATACTCCTGGATTTGCTTCGTGGGGAGTTTTGCGGAGGTGTTGCTGTTGTTCCCGTAGCGATAGGGAGTCGTGACCGTAGTCGGCGTTAGCCCGAATTTCTTCTCGACAACGCCTGCGTATTTTCCATTGTGTAGGTAAAACGCCGAGTTGTTTTCGACGACATTCAGTCCCAGGTACTGGGTCACTGTGTCGGACACCGTGAGTGTCAAGTCCCCTTTCAGCTCCCCTTCGAACCAGGTGGCGATGTCGGTAGTGGAACCGATGTAGAGCAGGTCGTCGACGTAAACGATGAGTAGGATATAATCTCTTCCCTTCTGCAGTCGGTACATGCCTTGGTCATGCGGCAGCTGTAGGAATCCGATTTTTACGAGGCGACCGTGAAGATGCTGCTGCCAGAGCCGCGGGGCTTGCTTGACCCCGTAAAGGGATTTTATCAGTTGGCATACTTTTGTGGGGTCGTCGATAAATCCGTGGGGTTGCTCGACGAAGATCTCAGCGTCCACAGGTGCGTACAGGAAAGCATTTGCAACGTTGATTTGGCGCAGTGGTAGTTTCTTCGTGGTCGCGACGGCGAGTAGGATGCGCAAGGAGGTGTGACGGGAGACTGGGGCGAATGTTTCTGTGTAGTCGGTTCCGTATCGTTGATCGAAGCCTCGTACGACCCATCGAGCCTCGAATCGTTCGATGGAACCGTCCGCATTGGTCTTGATGCGGTACACCCACTTTCCCGAGAGGACGTTCTTCCCGTTGATGTTTGTTGCAGGTACCAGCTTCCATGTATTTCGGTCTTGCAGGGCTTTTAGTTCCTTTTCCATCGCCTCCTTCCATTTCGCCTTATGTTCCCCCCCCAGAGCCTGTGAAAGAGTCGAGGGCTCGCGCGGAAATGGGGGCGGCGGATGCTGGACGGAGACCCATAAGCCGAGGATTTGCAGTCCCGTGGGTGTGTGTCGAGGGGAATTTTCATTCCCGGAATAGGCTGCTTCGTCACCATCTTCTGGATCAGGTAAGAAGTTTGGGCCGATGCGTTCTGAAACATTCGTGTCGACCGGGTGAGGTGTACAGTGACGGAAAAAACTGTCCGGATGTTTGGCATTAATTAGGTTTTTTAGGCTTTTCGACCACAGTACATAATGTCTTAATGTTTAATGGTGGTACGCTTTTGGAAGGGCACATAGTGGATGTGTTCACAGCACTTACGTCCATAGTAGTACACTGCATCTAACTTAGTGCCAAAAGTTATACAAGGGGGTCATCCGGACAGTTTTTTCCCGGGACAAAGCGTAAACTTTCGAACAGGTTTCTAGTACCTAGTACACCGACCCTTGGCCTTGATCACCACCCGCACCCTCCTAGGCATGTTATCTACGAGGTTAGTGCAAACCGTTGCAGAGATCTTCTCACACTCTTCCTGGACCCTCCCTTTTGCATAAGGGGGTGAGCACTAGGAAAACAGCGAGGGATTTGAGTGTCTGCAAGTTTTTTTTGCACGATTTCTGTTTGAATGTTATGTATAAGACTAGCCACAATGAGGTATGACCAAAGATGCCATTAGCCGATTAGTTCCATCTTATCATGGGTCGTCTTCGTCGTACCGCTGTAGGGTAAAACCACGAACAGAGCGGCAAAAAATAGTGTATATGCCATGAAACTGAGGGTGACGTAGCACGGTTGATTATTCATCCTTGCACTATTAGAATCACGCTAGGATCTGCATTTCTCATCACGGTGTAGCATTCGAAGAAGTTGCGACTGTAGTGGAAGAATATCCAAGTTGAGGTCAGGTGAAGAAAAGGGCCACTCAAGTGCTACAAACTGATGCTCTCCAATTCTATTCCAAGCCTATGTGGTACAAATGGCTTGGAGAGCATTGGGGAGCTTAAGTATGTTGCACTGGAGTGACCCTTTTCTTTACCAGACCTCAACCTGGATATTCTTCCCGAACAGTCGCAACTTGTTCGACTGCTGCACCGTGATGAGACATGCAGATCCTAGCGTGATTCTAATAGTGCAAGGATGAATAATCAACCGTGCTACGTCACCCTCAGTTTCATGGCATATACACTATTTTTTGCCGCTCTGTTCGTGGTTTTACCCTACAGCGGTACGACGAAGACGACCCATGATAAGATGGAACTAATCGGCTAATGGCATCTCTGGTCATACCTCATTGTGGCTAGTCTTATACATAACATTCAAACAGAAATCGTGCAAAAAAAACTTGCAGACACTCAAATCCCTCGCTGTTTTCCTAGTGCTCACCCCCTTATGCAAAAGGGAGGGTCCAGGAAGAGTGTGAGAAGATCTCTGCAACGGTTTGCACTAACCTCGTAGATAACATGCCTAGGAGGGTGCGGGTGGTGATCAAGGCCAAGGGTCGGTGTACTAGGTACTAGAAACCTGTTCGAAAGTTTACGCTTTGTCCCGGGAAAAAACTGTCCGGATGACCCCCTTGTATAACTTTTGGCACTAAGTTAGATGCAGTGTACTACTATGGACGTAAGTGCTGTGAACACATCCACTATGTGCCCTTCCAAAAGCGTACCACCATTAAACATTAAGACATTATGTACCGTGGTCGAAAAGCCTAAAAAACCTAATTAATGCCAAACATCCGGACAGTTTTTTCCGTCACTGTAACGTAACCTTGGTCAGCGAAGTGGTAAAGGGTGTCGAGGTTGTTGCTATCGAGAGGATTGTCGTCGTCGAGTGGGACTGGCACGGAGCAGTAAGGGAGTGGTCCGACAGTTTCCGTAGCTCCAGGTACGTCTTCTTCTGCTGCGTCAGCTTCGGCAGCACGGTCAGCGAAGGATCGAAGGCTTGCGACACCGTCGGTGGGGTCTTCTGTGTTGGCGACGTTGTCCAGGTAGTGCTGCAGCGTCAGTCGTTCGTAGAAGATCACATCACCTGATGCCACGGTATTTTTGTCTTGTATGTCGAGGATTTTCCATGCTTGAAAATGTTTTTCGATGCCGAGGTGTAGTCCCCATCGTGCTCGTTGAGTGAAACGTCCTGCTCTGGCTGTGTGGGGTCTGTACTGTACCATGCAACCGAAAACCCGAAGTAATTTTGTGCTGCCCCTTTTTCGTGTCCACAGCAGGTGCGGTGATGCGTTGTTGGGGAGCGATGACGAGGATAGCAAATTGTGCAGGTGGACTGCATGGGTCATCGCGTCTGGCCACAGTGCGTTGGGCAGTCTCATCCCCAGGAGCAGCTTCCGCATCGTCGTCTGCAAGGTCTGGTTCATTCTTTCTGTGACCCCCTGTTGCTGGTGAGCGTAGGGTAGAGACACTAGGCATCTGATTCCTCTTTCCGCCAAGTAGGTCCTGAATCGTTGTGACTGGTATTCCAGTGCGCCGTCGGACTGGAAGCTCTTGAGCATAGTTCCTGATTCTCGTTCAGCGATTGGGAGCCACGTCGTGAAGGCTTCAAAGGCTTGATCTCGCGTCTTGAGGTTGTAGTGCCAAACATATCTTGTTGCTGCATCGATAAAAGTGATGACGTAGTTGAAGTCGGCTTCCGTGTCGTCTCGAGGCATGTTTAAGATGTCGCTGTAAACCCTTTCCATCGGTGCATATGCAGGTGCACTTGGATTGTGATGTGATGGGAAGGGTTGATGGGGAAGATCTGCTTCGGGGCACGTGAAGCACCGTGCGCGAGGTCGTCGAAGTTCTTGGCCGCTTGTTGTAAGAAGAGCGTTTCGTTCTAACACTTCGGCTTGGATGGTTTGTAGTACCGTACTATTTGCAGGATGCCCAAGGCGTTGGTGCCAGATGTCGTCGGAAGCGCGATGGCCGGGCGAGCGTTGGTACATGTCGGTGTTGGAGAAGAACGCGACGACCGTGGCGGGACTTCGGCAGACTTCTCATGTGATGGGCATAAGTTGATCTGCTTCGGTTGGCGGTCCTCGGATCGCTGGTGGTGGTACTCGGCTGGGTCCTGCTGCTGCTACTGCAGGTGATGGTTGGGAAGGGACACTTGCTAGTACTTGTCTTTCTTGTCTGATGACTGCTAACGCTCGTGTTCTTTCTGCTGCAGGTATGGTGTTGGAGTACCAGAATCCATCGGGGTTGAAGTCGGGGTCAAGATCCGGCGGGTGTGTCCAGGCGGCGAACGACACGATCCCATCGCTGTCGGCAGTACCGCGGTCTGGGACGAAGTCCAACACGAAGACGCCGGACTTCAAGAGAGCACGACCGATGAAGAGGCCACCCTTCCCGTGGTAAAGGCGAAACTTGTTGGAGTCCGAGTCGCACTCCAGGTGAATCCCTTTTGCCATTAGCTGGCTGACGCTTAGCAGATTGTATCCCAAGTTGTCAACGATTA